CTGCAGTCGACAACTTCTCAAACCCCTAGACCCTGAGTCCTGACCGCATGAAGACCTACACCCCAAACGCAAGACCAACCTCCTCTTAACCCAGACCTCCAAGCCCCCCAAACCCGCAAGCTTCTGGCTTGAACCCCCGCACTCTCATGGCCCAAGTGCTCCTAAACCCCTCCCCTTAACCCAGACCTCCGAGACGCCGCATGGGCTTCCGTGCTTCCACGCGTTGACGCTCAAGGCTTGCGCATGGACAATCAGCTTAGGTCTTGGGCGTGGTTTAGGGGTTCGGCGGTCTGTCGCCCACGGGGTCGGCGGCCTGAGCCGGAGGCTCTTAAATTGTTTTCAAGGTTTAGGGTTATTTAAGGCTTATAGGTTTGCATTTGGGGTTGGCTTTAGGCCTGAGGGTTTAGGATTCAGGGTTCAGAGAAGTCGGTGCTAGAGCTGTGCGGGGCCGGTTGTCAAACACACAGAGTCTAGTACTTTTCGTCTTTGCATATGTTCGAGGGTTGACCCATGGCAAGGCTGTCTTGACTCCAAGTGAAATCCCCTAGACTACCGTAAACCCGACAGCAAAACAGCTTAGTCCCAAAACTCAACCCCAAACAGCACGATACTGTGGCCAGGACCACCACTACCTCATGGTTCTTCTTCAACCTTAGGAAGGTAGCACGCCGGATTGTCTCAGGTTTCGGGGTTCGGGGTTTTACCCCTGCTCTGGGTCGCCAGCTCATGCTTCAGCCCGCTCAGTGCCGCGATTCGCAGTTGTGACTGGGCCTCAACATCCCCAGGGCTGTGCCCAACCCAGTCTAATAAGCTCCCACTACAAGATGTTGTGTCGCAATCTGTGCAGTGGGATACCTAGACCCAGGCCCAACAGTTGCACACTTTTTTGGATAGCAGGTTCTAATGGTAAGGACTCTAGAATAGAATTATAAACCCTAAACTCGAAACCCAAAAACCCTAAACCCTAAACCCTACATTTACAGGTATCCTTAAACTCTGAGTGATGCGACTGTCAGGATCCCAATCCGCCAAGAAGGAAAGGATGCGCACAGTCTGACGTGAAGCCTAGACTGGTCCAAGTTTAGGGTTTAGGGTTTAGGGTCCAAGTCCCTCCATAGTACGCTATAATTCAGATTGTATCACGTACTACTTGATTCTATTTTTGTAGATTTACATGTTCTTCATATATCTTCTATTCCATTCTCTTCTCTTCTGTTATATCTTATACTAATGGAGTATCTTATGCTGCATTACATCATCGTATATTGCATTTTTCATATTTTATTTGCGCTTGATGTCGTTTCGTAGACTTTCGCAGTTTGTATCGGCCGTTGTCATTCTATGCTCACTTTCGATTGGGTGTGTTAAAAGTCAGCCCGAGCATGTGCTTGAGTGACTTTTATTCAGGACTCTTGACTGAGGGACCGGAGGTGCTCACAGACGAGGATCGTGATCACCGACAGGGAGGGAGCCGACACCACAGCGAACCACAGGGGGAGATGGAGGGTACGCCATGGGGTGCAAGGGAGGAGGGACCCTGCGGCGCTGCACCATATATAGAGGCTTTTCGCATAATTTCTACGTCGTCTCAAACATAGGAACTCCAAGGACAAGCTAGAAACTCCCCTAAAGCCTTATTAATATAAGGGGCCTCAATAAATAGACTAGGGTTTTGGGGTACATTGCACCATAATTATAAAATAACGAGCCCCCAAAATGGTAGTGGTAATTATTGAGGCCCTCCTTACTATATGGGTGGTTGTCAAAATTATGGTCCCTCTTTGGGTCCTTCTTATAATACGGCACCTAATATTTAGGGTACCCCAGAA